ACATTTTTTATAATAATTATTATTAGCCTAATTGTACAATAATACAGTGTAAAAACAAAAGTAAAACCAATTATGTATCCAATGGAGGTATATCTTATCATCGTCATTGTTAATATTAGAAGAAATATTCATTAAAATCAAGAAAAAAGTGATTATTATCAGCAAAAAATATGTCTAAGGCATAAAGAAGATTCGATTCCAAATCATTAAATTTTATTTTCTCGTAATATATAATATTGGAGAGACAGTTAAAATGAAATTCCTTGTTTGAGGTTTTTTCATATATTATTTAGAAAAAAAGGCTTGTCCAGCCTACATCTTGTACATTTACTATTAACAGATAATACTCAAAATCAAAATGTTATTATTAATGAAATACATTTTTTTTTAAATATATATTGTCTATCCCAATTTGATTTGATAATCATTGAACGAACCAAAATTGTGATGATTCGTGAAATTGACACATCTTCTTTATGAATTATAGGGTTTTTATTGTTTTGTATCAGTGGTGCCATCTCACTGGCAGTAGTCATACTAAAATAACAAAGTAGAATTGATTACTTTTTAAACTATGGTTTTTTTTGCAGTAAGGTTAAATTTTATTTAAATTTTCTTTTTTTTTTATTAATTTCAAACACCCATTACCACGAAATAATGTATGTGTGGATACATTGGTCTTCAGTAAGTATTATTTGAATTGGGCTACAGTATCTTACATTGCGTGAATTTGGTTACATTGTTTTTCATACAGAACAGCCGGCATGCTACTTTTATTATTTTTTCTGTTTTGTGTCCAAAACTACTGGTCCGATTTATTGCGGCGTATCAGGTAGTAATTTATAAATTAGTAGGACGATCGAGGTGTCATCGGTGTGGCTGCCGTCGTTCGGGTTTGATCAGGTAGGGCGACCACACTTTGACCTAGTGATCGATGTGCCCCATTTTGAGGCATGATGTGCATTTTCCCTCGAATTAACAAAAAATAATATGTAAACGAGGTGCGAGTACCTTCCCTGGCGGCCTCCATGAGCGGCGTGTAACCCTCGTCGTTGACCTCCTCGATGTTGGCGCCGCGCTCCAGCAGCAGCATCGCCAGCTCCACGTGGCCGCCGCACGCCGCCAGCGTCAGCGGCGACTCGAAACTGTCCGTGGGCATGTTCACCTGCCACCACACCGAACGGTCATCAGCCTCCTCATTACTGTTTGGTCCCAGTGAAGTGTGTGACGCGGTGGTGGAGCACTAACCTGCGCGCCGGAGTCGAGCAGCAGACGCGCCACCTCCACGTGGCCGTCCATGCTGGCCTCCATGAGGGCGGTGTGCATCTCGTCGGTCTTGTGCTCGCGGTCAGCGCCGGCCGCCAGCAGGAAGCGCACCATGTCCAGGTGGCCCTTGTAGCAGGCGAGCGTGAGCGCGGACTCCTTGAACTCGTTGGAATGCGTGTTGATGCCGGCGCCGTGCTCCAGCAGGATCTTCGCCACGCCCACGTGACCCGCCGACGCCGCCTGACAACCACCACAACGATATCTATTTATTATTTATGCACAAATCTACAATACATAGGCGGACTTAATGCCTGCGGCATTTTCTGCCGGTCAATCTTAAGGTAGCGTGGAGAAGAATACGTGGTCAGGTGCACAATTATAAGAATAGACTAAATTAGCTAAGCTAATTAATATACATACTTTAACATACAAACAATATAATATTATACATACACGATTAACCATTAAAGGAATCTGCTTGCTCTAAAAGGTGGCTGCGTAATTTAGTATTAAACGCATACCGACCGGTAGACATTCTAAGATCTAAAAGAAGAGAGTTCCATAGGAGAATAGACTTAACAAAGAGGAAAGATTAACTACATCACCATTCTCGAATCTCCCGCACATGACTCGTCCTCCCGCACATGACTGACCTGACACCCGAGGGCCTATGCTATTTGTCCGCGAACATAAATTCTACAAATTTCGAATCGAAATTGAAATTATAAATAAACGAAGTTTTTTTTTGGCGAAATAGAATGGGCGTACAGGTGTCATGTTAATTCGTCCGAGGAGGATGAGTTTATTTAATTTTGAGTATATTCGCGATCAGTTTCTAAACGGGGCAAATCAAAAATTCTAAATCGTTCAGTCGACTTAGACCGACGGTCGCCGACGCTCCCGAGGGAACTTAAAAATATAGCAACTTTACGTGTACAGAACGAGGCCGGGCGCATACCTCCATGAGCGGCGTGTGTCCGTTCTCGTTGTGGTCCTCGACGTTGGCGCCGCTGTCGAGCAGCGCGCGCACGCAGTCCTCGTGTCCGCCGGCGCACGCGTACATGAGCGGCGTGTTGCCGGACCCGGACACGGCGTTCACCACCGCGCCGTGCGCCAGCAGCAGCCGCACGATGTCCACGTGGCCCGCCGACGCCGCCTCCATCAGCGGGGTGCAGTCGCCCTGCGCACGACCACGATGCACTTCTCTTTTAACTATCACCGCGGACTCCTCGTTTCTCCACTCCAAACTTCCGGACGGAGTTCGAACCCCGTTTCGTTCGCCGCCTTTGCGAGTCCCGAGTCGCCCCGACTCCCGAGTTGGAACGAAATTATTGAGTAGGAACGAACGAAAAATTTATCGTATCCCTACTTTGAGCACAGGGGGATCGAGTTTTATTTAACTGCACCACTCCTGCGTCCCGTTTTTCTACTGAATCGTCCTGCCCTTTCAGACTTTGAATCCTAGTTTTTGTAAGTTCGGGTTCTTTGTAAGTTCGGACCGCCTTCTGTTAGATTTAACTTTGAATCCAGATGCGATCGGTATTGTAAAGAAATATAGAAACTTGAGGCAACGTAAAAATTTAACGAAATGTGTCTTTCGATAATTCTTTAAAAACTATAATACAAATTTACAAACGTAACACCGACGAATACGCAGTAAAGATCTCGGTACTTTTGCTCATTTAAATTAAATGAATAAATAAACATTAAACAACATCACATACATTGCTCAGATTCCAAGATGAGTAGTAAAGCCCCCGTATCATGGAGTATCTGAGACAACAAAGGTATCACAACACCCAGACCCGGGACGATATAAAAACATTCATTTTCTACATTGACCCGACCGGGAATCGAACCCGGAACCTCAGAGATGGCGACACCTTGAAACCGGTGTGCGAACCACTCGGCTACGGTGGTCGATGAATTTTATTTATTATTTAATTTAAGGCTAGAACGTACAACGTGCGGCGAACATTATAAATACGTAGCGCGTATCTGCTGACCTTGATGCCTCGATCCTCGACGCTGGCGTGCATGGCCAGCAGCACCTGCGCGAGCTCGTAGTATCCGGCGGAGCAGGCGAGCGAGAGCAGCGACTCGCCCTCCTCTGTGGTCTCGTGCACGGAGCGGCCCTCGGTGAGCAGCTTGCGCACGGTGCCCACGTCGCCGTCCGAGCACGCCTCCGCTAGCGACGGCGCGCCCTCGCCCCCCGCCGCGGCCCCCGCGCCCGCCCCCGCCCCCGAGCCCGGCCCGGTCCCCGCGCACGCGGCACTGGGCGTCGTGCCCGTCGCTGTCGACCCACACTGGACCCTGCGCACCCGACCACCGCGCACGTTACCACTCGTCTCCTCTATCTAAGCTCGCCGATGCCGAATCGAAACTTTCAGATAAGATCAAAGCTTCCATAATCACAGTCGCCCGCGTCTCGATCGTAACGGCGGCGGGAATCGATGACTGCACCGCCGCCGCCCCGAGAGATCTACGATGTGGGACTCGAATCTCGGATTGTCATCATGCGAAAGACATTATTTAGGGTTTCTTAGAGGAGTGTATTCTATGCATCGACGAACTATGAATATAATTGATAAGATCTCTATTTAACAAAAAAAAAGAATAATAATAGTTTACCCACCTGTTACGGGATTCATATGATACATATTGCGACGTCACAATAATTGTTGCCTAAAATTTGTATACTTAATAATGAAAATCGTAGGAGCGCCTAGTGATGAGGAGTCACATGTGAAGCACGACTGCCTCTGACGTGCTGTATTAATGTGTGTGTATAGTAGAGGTGGACGTATTAAGGAAAAGCATTTAATTAAGCATACCTATTTCAATAAGTGCAAAAGCAAAACCATGCTTTTGCATGCAAGAAAAGCATGCTATTTTTGAAAAAGTTCCATCATCTATGATGATACAGAATAACTTATTCAATAAACGTATTGCGCTACATATGCGATAGCCCCATGACATACAATTTAATTACGTTGATTAATAGACGCTACTGAATTTAAAAAAAAAACTTAAAGAAGAGTTTCAAAAAGCAGTACGCTATACGTTGACACGGTGTATACATGCTTCGTTGCGTTGTTTAAACGGAGCTTAAAAAGCAGTATGCTTGACGTTGTACGTAATAAGCACGCGTTGTTGCGTGGTGTGTATTAATTATTATTTTTTCTTAAGTTTTGTTGTTTTAAATGTTTTGAGATTATATACCGATTAATGAGCACGTATAAGTTCTACAAAATAATTAAAAAATAAGCATAAAGTATCAATGCCAGACATCCTAAATATTATATATAATATTTCAAGTAGACCAGGAGAACTATTTCGTTTAGTTTTAAAACTTCTCTGGGTCGTAGTTCGTTTTATTATTGGCAAGACAACATTGCAAGCTTATTAATTCAACGGTTTCCAAACGAGGCAATCGTAAAAAGCATCTAAGTTAAAAAAAAGCTTTTATAAGCGCGCTTTTAAAAAAAGTATAACGCCACAAAGGTTTAAAAAATTGAAGCCGTTATTTCCACCTCTAGTGTGTGTGTGTGTGTGCATGTGTGTGTGTGAGTTCGTGCGTGTGACAGGCAGGCAGACACTGACGGTTTGTCCTGGTGGTGGAGGCGGTGGTGCGGCGGCGGCTGGTCGCTGCGCATGCGCGTGAGGGCGGCGGCCGCCTCGTCCAGCGCGCACGACACCGACGAGGTCAGCCGGCGCAGCACCTCCGGGTCCGCCAGGTGCTTGCCCTCGCCAGACAGTTTGCCGATACCTGCTGACGCACAATACGCACACACATTCAACGACAGCGCCTCGACATGACGATAGCTAAATTACTACTCAATTAATTTCCTGGCTTACAGAGGGGATGAAGATTGAATATTCGATCTTCCAGGTTCGTATTTGTTCGGTTCTTTATGCAACGAACAGCAATTATTATATTTATGCAAGTAAGCACTTTATACCTTACATTTAAAATATTAATTCAGTACGAAAAACACTACCATTTACGCAACTCGTGCTCAATAACCAGAAATACCATATACATAAAATAACATATTTAACCAATTTTTAGTTATAATAATAATAAATAATTTTACCATTTATTACGTTTTATATGTAGTAATTATTATATGATTTTATAGACATTTTCGACTTCTTATTTATATCTAACGCAAAAGGAGACTTACCACTAACCGCCGAGTGGAAAGAAACCTTTTCAGTATTAAATTGTTTGTTTATTATACAGATTTATTTATTAGCGATCGGTGCGATATGTAAGTATTCTTCTTCCATGCATCTCGATAACTTGCCATCGCAGTATGTATTGAACCCTTTTTAAGGAGATTATCTTTAACAGAGTATTCAGATTTTCGTTTGTCTTCCGCTCAACACATCAATTGTAAAAAGAAATAACAAGGTTGTATCGGAGCAATACCAGAAGAAAATTTATAAAATATAAATTTTGTTTATTATTGGTTATCCTCTCCGAAAAAAATTGTCTATGACTCAAACAAATTCATAAATAATCGCATCATCGTTACATAAGTATAGATTGTACCGCGGTTTGGATTCTTTCATTTTAAGAAAAAGTAGAGATCACTAGGTATCAATGAGCCATCATGGATATTATATTTGATCAATTTTGTGTTCATTAAAAAATGAATTCATTAAAAACATAATGAACTTGAATAATAGAAATAAAAAAAGATAATAAAATACGGTAATTAATTCATGAAAAACGGCAATTACATATGTGAAGTATAATAAAATCAAGTGTGTAGATTTATTTTTACGGACAAACCCAAGCATATTGTGATTGACATCATTTTACTTTAATAATATGATATAAAAAAGTTACATTAATTTTAACGCCCATTTGATAAACTACAATAAATCGTCTATAATCGGATCATAAAGTAGCATAAAGAATTACACCAATCAATAATGCAACTGGCGCTACATAAATGCGATATATGCATCCATCAGCTGGGGAAAGGCAGCCCGCCCGCACGTGCCCGCCACACGCATGATCACTCTAATGTGCGTCGGCGACATGTTATATCTCAGGTGCGACTAGGATTAGGACTCACTGTTAGGTAAACACTTTACATATTATTAGACAATATCATATACATTGTTCAAATGCTAAATTAAGTAGAATGAGATATACATACTATTATACATACTATTAATTACAAAATAAAACAACATAAAAGGGGGTCAGTATATGGGAGTAACGTTAGTACTTGTATTTTATGGAATCGTGAAACAACACAGATACTGCAACATTCAGACCTGAGACAAGCCGAGTGGCTCACGCGCGCCGGTTTCAAATGTTATGGTGCCTCCATAGTTTCAGATTTCCATTATACAAGTGCTTTTGCTACTTAATTAGGACTCGAGGCAGTGTATGTGAAGTATTAGATGTATTTTTATTGATAACAAGAGAAGAGAGTAGGTACCAATAAGTGCTACAAAATCATTATTTATAAAGCTTTGGAAATTTAATTCGTTTATATTTTATAGGGTTTACTAGTGATATTAAATAAATATATTATTTTGTTTAAAGAAGTTTCGAAAAAGTTTAAACTATGAACGTCAATGGTCCACTTCAGTAAGCTATGATAACGGAGTTATTAATTGTATGTTCTGTGCTAAGCTTTATATTGCGATATGTAGTTACAAACATTATATTTTCTCTTTCCATCATGAATGGCAGCCATTCGGGGCGATTACGGTCAATTCGACGGCAGCAAAGTGCGTTTATGTAAATGATCGTATTGTCATTGTTAACAGGGTCCGGCGATCGCCACCGCTCGTGGGTCGGACGGCCCGTATCAATGTTATACATTATTGTTACATTAATTAGGTACTCCCGGAACGAGCACTCTATTGTTAAATGATTATCACTTCTGAATGAGTACACATCATGTTAATTAATGGGAACTTCAAATTTTAGAAATCTAGTACCTGGATCGGTCATATTGAGCTACGCTCGGTATTTTTTTGGTAAAGGAAATCTAGCTTGATCAATTTCGCCCCTAGCATACTAAATTCATGAAATAGTTGGAGTCGTATCCGAAATTTACATTGTTTATATTTCTTACAAGAATTGCTCGTTTAAAAGAATCAGATAAATAAATGTTTTTTCCCAATTAGATTGAATTAACTGCGATATCTAACAAACAAATCTGATTTTTAATCAGTGAAAGATCCCGCTCATGACAATAATATTATTTAATCGATTTCAAAATCAATAAGGGGCAGATTCTATATTTGACTGGTATTTATGTTCACCGATTTCTGAGCGAACTGTTTTTCTATTTTTTAACTAAGGCGGTTCTATATTCGAAATAGGTTCGTTACTATACTAAAATAACTGGAAGAATTCTTTCAAATAACTAATTACTTAGACAACCTTTTTATGCTGTCACAGTAAACAAAATCACGTATTTGATTCTGTGATTTAAGTTGTGTTAAGATAAAGTTATTATATTTAGTAAAATTGTACAGTTAAAAAAAAATATTGTACACTTATAAATCAATAAATATATAAGGGAAAACATTATCTTGAGGATTGAGAATGACGTGACGAAAGATAATTCCGTAAAATTAAAACGTAATTCTTTTTCCTTCCGGTCGAGGACGAATCAAAACAGAAACGTTAGTTTTAAGGGCGGAGACAGCAGCGGCTAGCGGGCAGGCTACCTACTGGCTGGCATACACTAAATAGGTTACGGTGTCAAGCTACATTTAGTTATTCTCAAATGGTAACAATAGTGTTGTGAGCTTCGAGCGCACTCCATCCCCATACATGTCTGAGCGTTCTAAATTTCACTTTTATATAATATCCCATGATTAGATTTTCAGCTCAATCAATCTTTTGATATTTGCGATAACATAGCAAACAAAGGAGATTAAGTAATAAAAAAATGTAATGTTTTTTTTTCTATGGCCGTTATTATTAGTACTAAATATAACGTGTACAGGCCGAGGGCAGAAGGCGTTATCAAGAGCTCAATATTTACTTGTAGCTGAAGAGAAAACGAGAGAATCATGATTACTATAATTGTAATTGCACGTTTAAGTGGTCGTCTTAAAAGTGAAAGAATGTAATTCATCAGGTAACTTATTTTTTATTAAGATAATTTTATAAATATTAACCCGGTGCCTTCGCACAGAAATAATGATACAGTTTTACATTCGATTGGATATTATTTCTTTTATTTACAACAGATATTAGCGATGTGCTTTATGTGCATAAAAACATAACATAATAGTTATTTAAGATACGAGTGCGGAAAGTAAAGTTTTAAGCTCAAGTTTCTTACAACATTTTTCAATGCTTTTTGCGAGGAAATAAAACAAATATATAGGTTAATAAAACTATACTCCAATAGCATTAGACAGAAGTGAAATAAGGTTCTTTTTATGGTATATTTTGTGACAAAAGATCAATAATCATGTTACTTTTAAGACTGACGGCTAATTTGCTACATATTCACTTAAATATCAGCTACTATACTTAACTGTTGCCATTTAAGCTAACTATTAAACAAATTTATGAGTATATGACTAACTTAAATGATTTAATAAGTATTACAAAAAAAGTGTCCATCGTAAAGAACCTAAAGAAGCAGGGTTGGATAGTTTCGGCACGATTCTCATGTCACTATAACTCTACCAAATTTAAAAACTCCTTCAAGCGTTTCGGTAGTCCAGCTTTTTAATTTTGTCAGACTATTATTTATTAATAATTGTTAAAATCGTTATCTGGGATTGTCATCCATTGTGAATGCTACTGTTCTTGTTGTTTAGCCGTTTTCCGTGATGTTATTGTTTTATTTTTGTTGTTAAGTTTTGGTAAATATGGACGATGTCGGTACAGGCCCGAGTGGCCTACAAAAATTACGCTCTAGGCCCCCATACCTACCCTCAAACTTTGACATTTCAGGGTGTTTTTTCAATGTCTTCATCAATAGTCTAACTTATTACACTTACAATTAGAATTTATCAAAACACACAGATAGTTTCAGTTTTAGTTCCATGTTGGCTTAGGACTAAAAGATGAATTTATAAAATGCTGGCCTCATCTCAACCCCGAGGTATCATAAAAAATGGAAAATTGCCCAGCTCTTTCAGACTACCTAACGTTCAAAGTCTCAACAAAACTAATATAGATTTTTTAATTTTATCTTGAAAATAAAATGTTCTGCACTGCTGCTTCTATGACCCTCTTTTTTCTAATGTTATAGTGAATGGAGTTATAAGTATGTATTAAGGTAAAAATTATTTGTTAAAATTTTTATTTGAAAATATTCGTTCTAGGCTCCTTGAAATACTTTTGCCTCTAAAGTTTGACATATTTTCATCAATTTTTATTTAAATATCTTTGGTGCTCGGCCAAAAAAAAAATTAAAAAATACTTTTAAGCACGTGTGCCGTAAAGGATTTCAGTACATTTTTATTTAACACGTGTTTAAAGACTCACTTTCGGTGTTTACAATGAATTAAAAAAATTGCGCTTTATGAGCAACTGCATTGAAAAAAACAAAAACATGACGGCTATTAAATATTTATATAAACTACTAGCTTTTGCCAGCGACTTTGCCCGCGTGGTCTAGTTTTAAGTACAAAAATGAGAAAATTCCATTAAAACTTTCATCCCCTAATTTACTCCCTAAAGGGTTGAATTTCGTAAAATTCCGTCTTAGTGAGCACCTACGTCCTAAAAAGAACCCGCGCATGCAAAATTTGACACTCCTCGAAACGAAGTTTCATCCCCTACTTTAGGAGTGGAATTTTCAAAAATCCTCTCTAAGTGCTCCTTGTGATTTTTTTCAACTATCTACGCTCAGTAGTTTCGGCTGCACGTTGTCAGTCAGTCACTCAGTAACGCAATAATTTTATATACATATATATATATATATAGATTCCTTAGAGCAGCCAGCCGTATTTAATCTTTTTATAGGGGCCACAATTTCGATTAAGGCGTGGGGTCGCGGGCCGCAAACATAAGTAACTTATGCCCGTTTTTACTAAACTTGACACCTAAATATTTGGGCATTGTTTAAGGTGAAAATGCGTTTCACTAATGACAAGGACACCTAACAACATTCAGCAACGCTTCATCTTAAGTTTAATTAGTTTTATTATGGTATAAACGACACAAGTAATCAATGTAATTTATTTCCAAAATTATTAAAACTAGGAAGTTAGAATGAAAAAATCACATACGCTTTCAATATTATTAATGATTATTATTGATTTATTCGCAATTTTGTTTACTTCCGCTCTTTTCATCTAAATAAATTGATTATGTACATTCTTATTGGAAAATATGAACAATCCGTTTAAGATTAAAGTAAATGAAAAATCTCCTTTTTCAATGTTTTATCACAAAACATATGTTAGAATTGATTGTTTGGGAACCGTCTAGTGATTCAAACGCCATCGTGAGGGCGGTATCTATCCTGTTGATAGCGTACCTAGTGCCTTCTTCTATTATTTTCATTAAATCAGACACGAACGGATGCAATTGTAAAAATCTATTCGCAAAAATGTTATAACAAAACAATTGACGCCATCGTGTTTTGTGTTCGGCGACGGCGTGCAGTCGAAAGTTATCGATTTTATGATATAGATTGGACAAACGGAGGTAAATGCAACTGCTTGTTGTTAAAGGTCAAGGCGCCGGATTTATTCAGTACGTAGTCACGTAAGTGTACAATACACACAAGTTCTGTCAAACTGTTGTTCAAACCAGAACGAGAAACGCAAATTGTTAAGGCGCTCTTGTACCTCCGCTTACGTTTCCATACAAATACGCATCGAGAGTAAACACGCGCTCGCTTGATTTCATACATTTTCAATCTTTGCGATGTTTTAGTCGAGTTAATTATTAAAAATGTATGTTTCTGTTTTTAGCAAGCAGTCTATAATAAAAATAGATTTAGAAATTAACGGTAATTTCGTACAATTTCGCATTAAGGATCATCATAGACCTAAACATTCGTCAACGCGACGTCACTTGGTTGTAGATACTGGTTAGCGATGAGGTCGTGAGACGCGTCGACCGATCTTATGGAGCCAGGGACTTTTACAATATTAAAATAAGTGACGTGCCGTGCGCGCCGCTTTATCAATCGTTATGAGAAATCGAGAATGTGACGCCAAGACGCAAGAGTTAGCGTTTATGTATGTGAAAAATATATTTATTAAGTCATCAGAGTTCCACAGAACACGAAATCGAGACTGCATTTTATTGTGTTATACGATCCTTGCCATTTGTGCCCATTTAATATTTATATTTGATTGTAATGTTGCAACATAACATGGCATATTACAATTTGTTTTATATTATCTTTAACTTGATTTAATCAACGACAAGTACCTATGTTAATTATTTAATCTCTTTTCTTTAATTATAATGTAAATAACAAAGAGTGACAATAATATGGTAAGCGTATATTAGTCTAGTGACTGATATATAACACACATACTATAACTTGGGCCATACCAGTGTCTGTGTGCTTCACTAGCCGCATCTGTTTACGTGTTGTGACGTAACACACTTCCTATCGCCTTCTAACGGACTACACCTAGTGCTATTAAAATAGGGTCTATATTCGCTAAGCGTGTTCAAATTCAAATAATATTAGAATGATACAAAGTTTGATGCCTTTAACATAAGTATTTCGAAAAAAGTCTATTAAATTAAATATAAAATTGTAAAATTATAGTTGTGGTTTTTGCATTAAGATTTACATAGATACGTTTTTTTTACCTTTTTGATCATTTAGATAAAAATGATTTTGCGAACATACTCTGCAAGTTAAATAAAAGCTTGTAAGAATAAGTGCGGATGCTTATTTAAAGCACCACCATACACTTATTATTGCAATGTGTTCCATAAATGTTTGTGACGTGTTGGCAGACAGTCATGGTGCGTCTCTAAGTGGTTGTCCAATCGTTCATTTAGTTATCTGGCGTAAATGTTTACCGTGTGGTGAAGTCTCCAAAACCCTTACTATACACAGATACATATACTTATTTGAAAATCGGAGTCACTTATTTTCTACAAAAAACCTACTTGCCGCAATCATGCATGACACACAAATTCTGGCGCATTTTTCATAATCTGTTTGTGTGTCATAATTTGTACATAGTTTTGTTTGTGTGTCTTATTAATAATACGTATTGCGACCTCGCATCCTGTATATGTGTCAAATAAATACATTTGATTTGATATTATCATAAACAGACTTATTCATTTTAAAATACGAAAGTACCTAGTCAAGGCATAAATTCTGTTACTAGCTGTTTACATTAAAAAAAAAAAGCATTAATTTGAATTTCGAACAATAGCTTTTACGATAAAAAAAATACACTTCTTTCCCGCCATTATTATATTTTTTTTTGTTTTGAAAATGGAGTGGGGCACTAAAAAGAATAGGATTGCAATAGTTGCACTGTACAAGGTAGCCAGCCGACATTTTTGATACATTGAAAAAGCTAGGGATTAGCTGAATGTTTGTGTATCGTACCATCCAAAGGTACACTGAAACCATGTCTATCGATGACCGTGAGAGATCCGGCCGACCGCGGTTTATTAGAACAAACCAGGTCGTTAACGTAAGGCCAGAATTCGCCGAAATTCCATAAGGACGCAGAAAATCCTTTCCAGAGAAATGAGAATCCCACCGAGGACACTTTCTCGGATTATCAAATAATACTTAGGTCTAGGGGCTTACCGGAGATACACAGGACATACCTTTAATTAGCCATTAAAATAAAAGAGAATCGAAAGATCAAAACAGCTATTACTTCTCTAAATCTTTGGAGGCAGCAGTGACTAAAGTCAGGGTGAGTCACTTTAAAGTCAAGCACTTATACAATAATTGTAATATTTTGCTTATTTAGTAATAATAAATTAATAATCATTGCAGCCGTGCAACTCGTCACCTAATCTCGATGCCGGGCGCAATAAGTTATGGCTTTACATCCTATTTTAACAATACTTTTTCCACTGATGTCAGAATCATTACACTTATGGAATATTTGGATCAGAAATTAGTTATTCTATATGTGAATTCAGACCATAAATGTAACAGTGTAAATATTAGAATTGGAAGAAAGTATCTTGTTCATGAAAAGAAATATATGTTGGTTAAGGCTGCTATGACATCATATTTCAAATACTTCTTTTATATTTAAAAAAATGAGAATAATTTGACACAAAACTGTAGTGTTGTCTTTGTCAGAGTTAAGTCTTTATGAAACCTGATATTCGTCCCAATTATTCTGTTTACCATTTTACTGTTTTTATTTAGTCAGAATGTTTTAAGTGGTCTGTCTTAATATATCTTTGCTATAGTCTTTTATGGTAAATGCAGCTTAAGTGTGTTCATTCAACATTTATAATTTCAATTTGAGGTTTAAAAAATAAATTTTAATATAATTTTTATAAAGAAACACAGATTTGATTAAAATAAAATTGATTTAAAATAAATATTGACTTAAAACATTTTTAAAATAAACAATCAATAAATATTTAAGATTTAAAGTATAATTTTGTTTGATTAGCTTGATTCAATACATTTTTTATAGGATTTCTTTCACTTATAATATAACATAAAACTTACATAATAAGTTTTGCCTTATCATATTGTGTAGCAAAGAAAATAGAAATACCCACACAGAATGGTAACAAAACCAAGTAGTTTGGGGGAATATAAATAGGGAAAAAGATGATGAATACCGAATCTAAACGAATATTCGGCGCAACTCTAACAATAATAAGTCGGCGCATGGTTTTGATTAACACAAAGAAAACACACAGATAACAAAATAGATACTACTAATGTCAAGAGCTAATGACGCTTCCTGAGATTTAGTTAAGAACAAAACAATATGTCTAACTCAAATCTGACACAGAATTTGTTTGTAGTTCTGTGGATACGCAGTGCACATTTATTCTAGCATTACAATAGAAAATAATTTGGTATGTAGGAAGTGACATTAATCATAAAAATACTGACCAATTATGAGTCTGATTTATGCACTGTAAAATATAATTTTCTGCATTATTTTCAAATTCGAACTCAATTAAATTAGGATTTGTAAAAAAGAAAACCGATTTATATAATACAATCTATCCAATCCATTCTCTTTTTCAGACATTAGGTATACATGTTACAAATAGAATACTTTTATAAAAAGGAATTTAAAATAAAAGTTATAAAAAGAAAAAATGATTTTGACCAGCGGACATATCTTCTATAAGATATTGTGGCAACTATAATTGTATACACATTCTGGAGTGATTTCTGAGTCCTTAAATATCATATTTATTAATTCCATATATTTGAGAGGCTGATGTTCCTTAATCCAGATTTTTGATGAATTTGTATAGTACTTATATCACTAAGCAGTTATTAGTGAGTAACATTTTTACTAACCGGCTGCTTCCAGCAGGGCCTCGAGTCTCGCCTGCATCTCAGGGTCAACGGCTCTCTCAGGATCATCATGAGATAGGAGAAATTTAGATGACTCTGCACCACCACCTTCTTCATCCATTTCCGCCTGGGAATTGAGATATCAGTTAGTATTAGCGACCACCAAGATATTACAAAATATATAACTAATATATTTACAATAATGTATTCATAACAATATATGTCTAACTTAATTTAAAATCCTAACATAAAGAACATTTAAATAGTGAAGTTGTATAAAAGTAGAAACACTGAAAAAAGGATTACATTCTACAAATGTAGAATGAAATATGACAAATATTAATATTATTAAAAAAAATCTTTTATGGAACATTGTCTAATAAGACATTTTATTTTAGTTGTTTGCTTAGTACATCTTTGTATAAAAATCTTAAGTAAAAGTTATAAAATAAAAATTATTTAACAAAATTATAAGTTATTTTACAGTGACATTTAATACAACAGGCATATCAAGAAAGGCACATAAAATGTATATTTTGCTTTTTTAAGGGTTATTAGTAAATTTTAAAGAGGAGTATATTCATTGTTATTTTGTAAAATCACAGACTTTGATAAAATAACAAAATAAACAGCATTAATATTATTTGAAATGCATATCAAAGTTATGAACTAAAATCGGCATTGCAAGGAAATCGGTAGTTTGAGAGTTTAAAATAAAAAATAAACTATTCAGATATAGTTAGTAATGTTAGGATCTATTTTAAAAAGTAGTACTCGACAGCATGTTAGAATCACAAGGACCATTCAACATTGATGAATCCAAAATTATGTAGTAGATACATAATAGTAAAATGTCCACCGCACACACATTATGGAGGTTAACATTAATCACTCAAACTGCCACAGCAATAGTGTTGGTGAAGGCAACTGCACTCAGAACGGTTATCTTCGACTTACCAACAGGTCTGGCCTGCTTAGGCACAAACAAGCCAGCAAGATCTATAACACCAATGAGAAAGTGTGAGTATTGACAATGTGGTGCATGAGGACAGTGCTTAAAACTATCAATTAATAACAATGGTCCTTGCAATTCACTAATAATTGGCATTTTTGCGCGAATTTATGGAAGGCGTTTTGCACAATTGTTTTGTAATGACAACATTTATTTCAACATAACTAACAACGCCTATAATATTTTCGTGTGGAAATTATATAATTCATTCATTTTCATTGAAATACAGTCACAAAATAGTAACAATCGTTACTTCGACTAAAATGCATGTGATTTGAGAAACATGGCCACCGTAGTTCGAACTTCATCCAAAATACAAATAGACAATAAAGAGCACCTTACGAGAAATTACCGCGATATTATTGTGGAACTACAAAGAATCAATGAAATGCTGTCTAGGAGCGGCTGGCATAAATAATTTCATGCATTACTCAGTAGTACGTACGTACTTATAACTTTCTGACGTTTTACGGAATATTTGGCAAGCAACTACTTCATTGGGATCGTCTAATAGATGTTATTCGTAGTAACCCGTTATACGTGATCAAAAATAAATAGAATTAATCGTTCGATGGCTATTGAAATAAAATAAATTGTAGTCAGGCTAGACTAGTACAAAATGTCCCTTGCAGTATTTGGAGCGGTATAGATAATCACATTCCCTTATTGCTACCGCCTCTGCCAAAAACAAAACACGTTTTACCTCGGATACAGAGTCATCCTCGCTTTCCGATGAGTCCATCATGTATTTAGCAGGCGCTCCAGAGTACGTTTCGGTTTCTGATTTGGCCGGACTCGAAGCCGAACTCTGAGGAGTAGACGATTTTACTACATCAAGTTGCAACTTCACCTTATCGTTATTTCGGTTTTCAGACTGTCCAACATTCTGCATTTTTGTCCTAATCCAATACAACTTATTTAGTCTTTTAGTATCAACACTTTTTTACGAAATTAACACGTTCTTATATTAGCAAACAAAATTTATTTCGTCATTTAGCCAGGTTGATACCCGCCATGTCTACTACTATGGCGAGGTTCCCGGATGCTTCAAGTAGGCTAACCAATTATCTCCCTCTGGCGATGAAATATAGAACTTTTGTGCTGCCATCTACTTCCAAAAACGCACAATTGTACATATTTTTATACTTTATACTTATAGCAAAGGGATAATTTTGATAATACACAGATGTTTTTAGATGTCAAAACCTCAGATCAATAACGTTGGTTAAATAACAGTTTTTAGGTCATTCGAATATGACAGGAAAACAAAGAAATTCAAAGGAAAAGGGTCGCTATCACTGAACTTCACTGAACTGGGCCGCTAGACTTTCAGTGAAATTGAATGACGCCATTCAATTAAAGGGCTAGCCGTCTAATTGGTTGACTGATTACACCATTTGGCTGTGACATATACATCATGTTCATAAAAGTAACTAGCGGACCCGTGCATGCTTCGGTGGCAAATTTCTGTGACGACGAGTTTTGACTAATGAAGTAGCGATGGACGTTATTTTCAATAGATAGTTGTTTAACTATAGGTTTGCCTGAACCGCGATCACTCATGATTCAGTAATATAATAACTACCTATCTATTTTCCAAAACGTCTTAGCTATAGTCAAACATCAGAGTGCTGACAAATTAATTATAATCCTTTTTTTTATTTGTTTAAAGGAAAATGAAAACTAACATAATATAAGTGAGCATAGAGAAGGTTTTTTAAAAGTTATGGAAATCAATAGAATTAATGTTGTGAAATTATTAAAAGTGGCGTTTAGCTACGGTATACAATAATATAACCGTGAAATAGTTTTTATAAATAAAATACTTATGCCATAGTAGAGCTAGGAATTTTAAATAATAATATTCAAAAAAGTTCTGAAAACAATAACAACTAGGTAAGTTAGTTTTGTTGCTACTAATTGTTTGTTAAACTTATGGCAACAAAACTACATCGAGTCTCAATCATCATCATCAATCATTTTATATAATGTGTGATGAATGAATGAATAGGGTTTATTGATAAGCAACAAAAGTCATAAAAACAATAATTATAATAAAAAAATCCGTTTATTATCTATATACTTACCCGATGTGTATCAAATATACTAGGTATTCGTGTAAAATAAATTGACTTTTGTGCTAAATGAAACGTGAAAATAACTTGTGCTTTCTTATATTCATAATTAAATCATCTTGATAAACATTCAGCAATCAACAAGAAACGTCTGTTCTAAACGAACAGCAAGGTTATAACTTTAAATTTCATAATCACAAAGACACGTACAGTTATTATACTATTGCTACTGATCTTGCATGTCGACGGCGGACGTCAAGCCATCTGTGAAGTTAATTCGTACGGTGGGTATGTGCTTATTGGTTCTTACAATAATATTGTTAATAATAGATTGACTTCCTACTCAACCTACTCTAGAAATCAGTTTTATTAAAATATATTATTTACTAGCTAGTAGTCATGTTCTCTTAAATTCTCTGCAGTGGTGTCGTGTGCGTTAGGTCGTTACGTTCCCTCAAATGTAGTATAGTTGATATTAAAAAAGCCCTTGCGGAGTTTCTTGACGATTTTTGTCAGTAAAAAATTTACCGCCTTAGTTTTGCGAACCATTGGCAAAGTTTTCTACAGCAAACAGCCTAGACTGAATTGATTTTGATATTTATATCATTCGTTTCGTGGATGGAACACATACAAATACAAGCTGAATTCTGCGCTCCGCTTTTTGATCTTCATTACAAACCTGAATTCGGATGAAAGTTACGAGCAACCAATAAGTTGGCTCATCACTAACGTTGATGTATCATAATAATACTCTTTGGATGTATTTCCTAAATATAATAATACTCTTTGGATGTATCAACCAAACATCGTTCCTTTACACGTAACGTAATAAACAACTTAAACTTATGATTATAATAAATTAAAATTAATTTGAAAGTTAGATATTATAAGAAACACAAAACGATGTCATATTTACTAATTTTCGATACTCAATTTCCTTTTATTACGTCAGAAACAAAATTTGAATGAATATCATAGACAAAATCCAAACATTGCGAGTGACATCTAGTATGATTTCAAGAACTAATTTTTATTTTTTAAAAAAACCTCATTGAGCGAGTGAAACTAATTAAATTTACAAATTTAATGGTTAATTACACACAGCTTGCAATCCAAAATACATATGAATAAATCATCTTAGACTTTTTAAATATAAATTCTATTTATAAATTCGAAATGATAATTATTTGCAATGAGGAAATATTAAAAAATAAAGAAATCATTAAAAAAGCACCTCCACTAGATGGCGACTCTAGCAAAAGTTGATTTTTTCAGATAACGAATGGACCAAAGACAGTCATTTCCGTTCTTTTTAAGTAACATATTAAATTATCACTACAAAATACGAAAAAGTACACATAGAATAGGAGTTGTTTATTAAGTTTTGAAAACTTATTTACTTTGAAACTTGAAAGAAAACTGGAAAGGTTGTCATGGAGAAATCAAGAACGTACCGTAGCGACATCTGGTTTGATTTCGGGAACTAATGTTTTTTTTAAATACTTTCTCATTTGTACTCCGCGCATCATTCTAGTCGGGTGGAGTAAAAGTGTTCTGTGGTCGGGTGGGGTTAATTCATATAAGTACTAAGTATATTTGATATATATCGGATATATACATATAAAAAACGGATGTTTTATTATAATTATCGCTTTTTCTGATCTTTGTTATTAACTTAATAAACGAAATATTACAAAGCTCTTTTCTTGCTTCAATTGGCTTAAATTCCATAATCTGACAATAAATATAGACAAGACATATTTTATGAATTTTAATAATTTAATATCTAATAACTTGATTATTAAATACCAAAAATGCACGCTTGAAGAAGCTGATAACGTTAGATTCTTAGGCATAACTATTGACAAGAAACTAAATGGAAACAACATGCAGAAATCGTTTGTAATAAGATAAATAGCTTCTCATTTGCATTAAGTATTTAAATTATCGAGAGTAGCGACAAGAAGTACGGCTCTTACAGCATACTTCGCTTATGTCAATCAATTTTACATTATGCAATTATTTGGGGAAATGGTACAGATGCCCAGAGGGTATTTATTGCCCAGAAAAAATGCATTAGATCCATATGTGGTATCGCTCCCGACGTCTCATGTAAGCAATGGTTTAAATTTCTCGGTATACTACCTCTTCCTTGCTTATTGTTGCAGATGTTATTATTAAGGTTGAGGGTAAAATAAGAATCAAGCGTGGCTGCGACCGCGCCTCTTGATAATACATGAGTGTGAAACTAGCCACGGTATTTATAGGTTGTGTCACCCCTCGTCTTGGTATAAAACACTTATATATGAGTATATTTGAAGCAGCAAAATTTGCCAAACGATACCCTGATTATTACAAAATAGCTCATGAAGTGTATCCCAGGAACACTATACTCCATTCACTATAACATTAGAAAAAAGAGGGTCATAGAAGCAGCAGTACAGAACATTTTATTTTCAAGATAAATTTAAAAAATCTATATTAGTTTTGTTGAAACTTTAAACGTTAGGTAGTCTGAAAGAGCTGGGCAATTTTCCATTTTTTATGATACCTCGGGGTTGAGATGAGGCCAGCATTTTATATATTCATCTTTTAGTCCCAAGCCAACATGGAACTAAAACTGAAACTATCTGTGTGTTTTGATAAATTCTAATTGTAAGTGTAATAAGTTAGACTATTGATGAAGACATTGGAAAAACTCCCTGAAATGTCAAAGTTTGAGGGTAGGTATGGGGGCTTAGAGTGTAATTTTTGTAGGCCACTCGGGCCTGTACCGACATCGTCCATATTTACCAAAACTTAACAACAAAAATAAAACAATAACATCACGGAAAACGGATAAACAACAAGAAAGGCAGTAGCATTCACAATGGATGACAATCTCAGATTACGATTTTAACAATTATTAATAAATAATAGTCTGACAAAATTAAAAAGCTGTACTACCGAAACGCTTGAAGGGGTTAGGCAACGTTTTAAATTTGGTAGAGTTATAGTGACATGAGAATCTTGTCGAAACTATCCAACCCTGCTTCTTTAGGTTCTTTACGATGGACACTTTTTATTGTAATACTTATTAAATCATTTAAACTAGTCATATACTCATAAATTTGTTTAATAGTTAGCTTAAATGACAACAGTTAAGTATAGCAGCTGATATTTAAGTGAATATGTAGCAAATTAGCCATCAGTCCTAAAAGTAACATGATTATTGATATTTTGTCACAAAGTATACCATAAAAAGAATCTTATTTCACTTCTGTCTAATGCTATAATGAATGGAGTATAGAAATAAAAATAGGCTAGTTCTTGACATAGTCCCAAAAAGCGCGCGATTTAAAAATAACTGCTACTGTTTGTGTCAAACATTTTTTATAACATTCCGGAATCTGTAAAGAATACACCTCTTACAAGATTTAAGAAATTATTCGTTGCATGAGTTCTTGGACTATAGAAACTGAACGTTAGCTTGGGGTGGATTGATCAGTGCTTATAGTGGCTTCTTTTACTACATTTGCATGCTATTGTTAATATTGTTAATTTTACATTTCTTTTGTATACCCTATTCAAACGCAAATAAATTATTATTATTATTATTAATAAACCCTATCATTTGTTCACCACACACATTTAAAATGTTGTTGAGGCTTGATGAAGTTTTATTGCTGTTAGTGCAACTAACAGCTAAGAGCAATAAAACTATCTTACCTAGCTGTTTTTGATTTCAGAACTTTTACTTTTTATTATACACCAAATCGAAATTGTTATTTTTACAATTTCGTAGCAATATTCTTCTTCTTTATGTTCTTAAAATTAGTTTTTATATTATGTTCAAGATGGGTTTAACTCAAAACTAAATCGCTACGGTGCGTTCTTGATTTCCCAATGAAAACCCTTCCGGTTTTCTTTCATGTATAAAAGTAAATTAGTTTTCAAAACTCAATAAACAACTCATATTCTATTTGCACTTTTTCATATTTGTATTGATATATAAGTTTCAAACTTTGCAAATTTCAGTTTTTTAATATGTTAGTTAAAAGGAATGGAAATGATTATCTTTGGTCAATTTTTTTCCTGCAAAAATCAACTTTTGCTAGAATCGCCATCTAGTGGAGGTGCTTTTTTAGTGCTTTTTTTTTTCTTTTTTTTTAATACTTCCTCATTGAATTTTATCCGCGTTATCAAACACTAACAATTTACCAAGTTAGGAACACTAACAATTCTATTCTCTTTGGTCGAACGTCGTCAATGAGGAAGTATTAAATAAAATAGACACTACAAGAATTTATATCATTATAACATATTTTTTGTAGTGTAGCCATAAAGATACTCTGTCTACGAGTGTAGCCGATTGGAGCACAAACTGTAATAAACGCCAATTCACGATTTTAGAACAAAGAGAATAGAATTGTCAGTGTTGTTATGGATCCGTCCCCGGGCTAACAACACCTAGCTCGGAGAGAGACAGCTACCTTTAGTCTCCCTTGCCAGTTGTCTCCATCATCCAGCAGGACCCCCATCATCACCATCAGCGCTTATACGTCCTCAATGCAGGGGCTCAGGCCTTGCTTATGGATGGTTAAGGAGCATGGGCCATGACGCTCCACGCTGGCCCAATGCGGATGGGCGGATATTAACGACTACAAATGCAGCCGGGACCAACAGCGTAACGTGCCTTCGGAAGCACGGAGTAGCTAGAGATAATTTTTTTTTTTTGGTCACCCATTCCGTGACCTTTGCGAAAGTTGCTTAACGACAACGATCACTAGCCGCGCCGCTTATCCACTACGCCACCGAGCTACTACCTTACTTTCACTAGTATGATTCCTACAGTATAGTAACAAATACATATTCGTGCACCAAGATCTAAAAAAATGCACGCACGTCTTTGTCAGAGTCGACGTAGTAAAAAAACCACTTCAACAACCATATGAAGGTCCCTGTCGGGGTTAAATGCCTTAGGCACTAAACATTTCTTGTATAAACTTGACACCGGCTTCGGTTGTTGAGCGACCCCTTGTAAAACCAAACTGTTGTCGATTCATGAAGTTATTCTTGTAAAAGTATGTTTGTATTTGATCCAGCATGATTTTTTCAAAATCTTACTAATCGTAGGTAACACGGATATAGGTCTAAAGTTACTAGGGTCAGATGTGCTACCCGATTTATGTAAATTCGAAGGACACGCAACCAACTGTCCAAGGCTGTGTTTAGTCAGTAGGAGTCTGACATCACCTTACAGCCGATTGTGATCATGATTGGTATTCAATGAAGGATTCACCGCCTCCTTCCCCGCTGGAAAGGTGGTTCCTTAAACCTTAAGTTTGAGAGCCGAAAAAAATAAAGCATTCACCACTTTCCACCTTCTACGGAGTTTTACTACTCGACAAACAAGCTTACGACTCGATTAGAGTTGCCAAAGTGAATTATGGTACGTAAACGAATCGACCATACATCATTCCGAACTGCCCTGCGATTCTGTAAAAATCCAAACCCGAATTCGAATTCCTTAAAGTTTAGACAGTATGAATGTTTTTTTTTTAAATAAAAATTTAGGCTGTCTGAATCATATTCTTTTCCTTCCTTTTCGCGAAAACCATTAAAAATTAGACTGTCAAAAAATAAGGGAAATCGAGAAAATCTAAGAGAAAGTCGAAAAAGTATGATTAGAATAATGACAAGTCGTAGAAAGAATAGAATCATGATAGAATAACTGAAAATAGTCGAAAAATGATTTAGTTTTTAGTTACGAACAATATAGTAAAATATGATGATAAAAATTAGTGCTTTTAGATTTATGTTTTTGAGTAATAGAAGTCGGCTGCTTAAAATATGAAAAATGTTGATGATTGAATTTATGGTTTTAAACATATTTCTACTTGTATAGTGTCTTCATTGTTAAATAACATGGCTAGAGATGGCGACCTGCCTACTATATTTAACCCCAAACGTGTTAGAGCACCTTCTGTGATAATAACAAGTGAGGAGGTGGTGGAAAGTGAGCGAAGTGGAGGAGACGGTGACCGGGAGCGACCAAACGGGCCGCCGACTCCGCTCAGTCCCCGTCCACCGCTTACACCACAAGCTTCAGTGTGTTCAGCACCTCCTCTGACAACTCAACCATCACTACAACAGGCATATAGTGAATCTGCTACAAGTAGTCAAGATGAAGAGAGACAGTTAAGAGATAAAAAGTGTCCTAGATCTTGTTGCTCACGATTTGCTAAAAAGGTAAGTCATTAATATAAAATATTGAATTTGTTTGTGTAACCACATTTTTTATACTAATATAAAGTAAAGTAAAGAAAGGTCAATTCTCTGAGTGATAACTCTGTAAGATTAAAACTGACTTTCTTTCTGATTATAATTTTTTTACTAATACAAGTGCTTGTTGCCTAGCTAGATAGAATAAATGTTTGTGATCATATGTGAATTAATGTTGTTTCCCTGTTTTATTACAGATTTATTATGGTGTGTGTGTCACAGTTGTCCTTACAGCATCTTGGGTTACAGCAACTCATTGTATTAAGCATATGTACTTAGAAGTTTATGCCCCAAACAGTCAGAACTTTATCCACAGTACAGAACCTTCATCTCTTTTCTACAACAATCTTACTTCTAGAATCCATGGCCATGTAAGTTGCTGACTTAATGATACTACTGTAAAAGTTCATTATAGTATATTCTTAGATGTTTTTTTGAGTTTAATCTCTTGAGCATAGTGCCATTTACTAGAATACTGCAACATGGACATAGTCTTCCCACACATGCTCAAGACTTTAATTTTTAGTTGTTTTTTATTACTATTACACTGGTCAACACTGAAAAATTTTCCAGAGTATTTCCACATGTTTTCGATTAAATTAAGTGTGGTGATTACGAAAATACCACTGTTTTTTTTCTAGCAGCTCTAGTTTAAAATTTACATGTAGGTTAAAAATTAATATAAAATTATGATTTTTTCACACACTTTATTTGAAATAATTACTGCGGTTCGGGGAAAAAATGTTTTTTATAAGATTTTCTTGAATGAGGCTTCTGTATTTGATCCCGACAAAGATTCCAGCAGTAGTCGGCCATCATGTGTATGTCCCACCTCCCTTGGTAACGTTCTTCCATCGTGCGAATATCCTGGTGGAACCTTTCACCTTGCTCCTCGCTATAATCTCCAAGATTTTCAGGAAATCGATCCAAATGAGGATGTAAATAATGTAATTTAATACTCATGTTACATCCTAGAAGTTTCAAATTGGACAACATATCGTTAACTAATTGAAAATAATTTTCTGATTTATGATTCCCAAGAAAGTTTTGAATTACTGCAACGAAACTTTTCCACGTTCTTTTTTCAAGTTCGTTCATAGATTCGACAAAATTGGGGTCTTTTATCAATTATCTAATTTGTGGACCATCGAAAATGCCTGCTTTCAACTTTTCGTTGCTCAGTCCAGCAAATTTCTTTGAGAGAAAAGCAAAACATTCGCCATCTTTATTAATGGCTTTAACAAATTGCTTCATAATACCAAGTTTTATATGAAGTGGTGGCAATATAATTCGATCTTGATTTACTAAAGGTGGATTGATTACATTTTGCTTACCAACAATCACTGACTCCCTTAGTGGCCATACTTTTTGAGTCCAATGTTTGTTTTTGTCGCGGCTGTCCCATAAACATATGAAACACGGATATTTAGTATAACCCGCCTGTTGTCCTAGGAGGAAATTTACCATCTTCAAATCTACGCAAATTTTCCAGCTATGCTCGTCATACTTCAGTTTTTCCAACACTAAAGATATATTTTCATATCTTTCTTTCATAGAAGTTGAGTGTCCTATAGGTATAGAACCATACTTATTTCCATTGTGTAAAAGTACACTCTTCAAACTTCTTTTGCTGCTATCAATAAAAGACGCCATTCGCTTGGTATATATTTTTGTAAACCCATCTTTTGTATAAGACCTTCAACATTATTACAGTAAACTAAATTCTCTTCAGAGGAAAAATATGGAAGTAAATCTTTTTCACGAGTACGATAAAATGTAATTTTTGTATCTGGAGTAAGTAGATTTTTTTCTTTCAGACGAGATGCCAAAATTTCAGAAGACTCTTTCGATAGATTTAAATCCCTTATTAAGTCGTTTAGCTCACTTTGATTGAATGGTTGAGGTTTTGTCTCTTGACTAGGTGTGAAATCAGAGTCGGAATCTTGTTTTTCTTCTTCATTTTCTATATTTTCTGGTTCAAAACTTGTTGATGATGTCGATGGTACTGGTGCTAGTGATTGGTCTGAGTGTGTAAGGGGCTTCTGAGCAGAAGACAACGTCGGATATGACCACTTATCCCGGTTTGCAGAGTTTATACCCGTAATGTTAACCATACAAAAATAACAGTCATCATGATGATTACGAGGTTCCCACCAGATCATGGGTGTCTTGAACTTGAGAGCTGATCTTTTTCCATTTGACCATTGTCGCGAAGAGACAACACAATTTTGGCACACGGTATTAGGCACCCATGGTTTCTGTAGATTGGAAATATGCACTCCAAAGTACTTGAAATAGGCAGATTTAACGAAGTCCGTGATCGATTTACGATACTTTGCAAAGGTGTATTCGCCATAAATAACACAAAAACTGTTTGAATCGTTTAAACAACGTCTCTTCTTCGTAGCCATTGTTTTGATTGTGAAAAAAAGAAATAATGCACTCGTTGAAACTCAATTAAATTGTTCCGTCACCTAAAATGCGGGTAGTTTGAAGAATCTTAAAAACTAGAGCTGCTACACAAAAAACAGTGATATTTATGAAATGACCACACCAAAATACATTAAACGTGATAATAATTTTCTTGGAAAATTTTATGAAGTAGATATTTGTTGGGCAGTGTTATTAATATTTTTTAAATTTGATGATGTAATCTAAAAGGTTTTACTAAGTATCAGTTGCATAAAATAACTTACAAAATTATTTATTAATAGTTTTTTTAATACCATAAATATGTTGTCCCCAGCACCTGTACAATGCTCCATTCTTCACAGCCTGGTTTTGCACTAATTGGCTGATATTGTTCTATCCCTTGTATTTGATTGTGATGCTGATACATAACAAGTGCAAGTCTGCCCATGATATTGTGTTTGATGCCTTCACTGATTTTAGAGACAAAGGATTTACTTTTGGTGAGCTAATAAATTGTAATCATAGCACCTCATACAAATATGTCAAATCCATCCACTTGATTATCCATAATGTGTTTAGGGTATAGTTTAAAACAAAGTAAAGGCACAGAATAACACAGTAGCGTAATTAAGAACAAATCATCACACAGAGATGCACATGCATATGTGAATTCTTAGGAGGTCTCGAGATGAGCTCAGTTGCACTTGTCATGGCAAGACTGCTAGTCGTACAGAGAGTGAGTTATCTCAATAAAAATGACACAAAAACATTGTATAGTATATGAATGTTTAAATTTGACAAGAAGATGGACGTCATTTTTCGCAGTTGTTTTAGTAAAGAAAACATTAAAGAAATAGATGAGATTCCTTTAAACGCCCCTTTTCTCTGTTTCCTGATAGTTTATTAAAAACCATTTTTATGAATGAGGATTTTTTTATACCGTAAATTTGAATAATTAAGCATTCAAACTATTAACGGACGAAAATACTTTTCAGTGTGTAAAATATAACAAGGCAATTACAATAAAAACCTTTATAAGTATATTGTTGTAGAATCACAAATGTGCAATGGATTTTAAGAGAGATACCGTGTATTTGATAATGATCCTCTACACAAAAGATCGGACAAGAGTTAAGCTTTCAAATTATTTTTGAAAAGTTACACTTATTACACAAATGTGGACAGAACATTACTAAACAAATTATGGCCTACATAAAATAATTCTTCAATTATGTGCTTCTTTTATAATTAATAAATCATTGTAGATACGTTTCTTTTTTATTTTCAATTAACTAGAGATAGCTTAGATAACAGACATTAAAGTTGAGAAGTGGGGGGCTTGTTACATCACAAATTTTGTAGAAAATGTACATAAGCGTAACGTCATCTAACATTTAAACTCGATATATTTTCGTAATTTAATAATTATGAAAAAAATCGTGTTTAATATTTTTTAATGATCTAACCTCACCGACAAAACAAACAAAAAAATCCATTTTTTTAATATTAGAGGCAGAGAATAAGAAAGAATATACCTAGACATCTAATTAGCAGGCACACAAAGATCTTCCAATATCTCTCAAATTTACAGTGCCACTAATTATATGCCATGTATTATTGTTTACTCACAGCTTATTGACACACCTACGTAAGACCCATAAACTTGTTGGCGTGCCCGTTACCATGATATTGCATAGGTATAATTCAGTTGTATGTTAAATAACTTTTTCAATTAACTTTGTCACAACTTATAATTAGGAAGCTGGTTTCAACACTAGTTTACCTTAAAAATAAACATAGAACCAATTTCAAGTGAAACCCTAGGATAAAACTTTAGTTATTATCCACAAACTTGGATTCTTTAGTAGGTAAAATATTAGTAGCAGCCCGATACTTCGCATTAAATAAAAGACAATAAAATCTTTTAATTAATAATAAAAGGCTAATACTCTTAAACAAGTAATTTTTTTTTTGCATTTCCGTTAGTTTGTTAAAAATTACATATAATTTCAAATATGTATTTTTATGAGATGTAACTTTGTACTTTTCTTTTTATTGAACTGTCGATCTACGTATAATTAGAATAGGCTTGTAATATTGTAAAATGAAATTATAAATTATGGTTTTCATTCATACAAATTAATTTATTCCCAGAACGGAGCTATTTACAGGGAGTATCATTAAATAAGTGGTTTATTTATTAAAAATAAAATAACGATGATTGGCCGGATGTTGTTGCCTTAATAAAAAAAAGGCTGGTTGGATTAGTCTTGCTCTAAGACATTATTGTTCGAGGCGCGGTAGCATGAAGCAGTGTGTTTGAATCTAGAAGTTTTATTACAATGTATTTTTGTTATTGCGTAATCATTAAATTACGACGATACATCGAGTTAAAATGTCACATGACGTCACGCTTTTTTAAATTTTCTTTAAAACTGTGACGTAACGAGCCCCCACTAATCAACTTTAAATGCCTGTTGTCTTAGCTATTTTTTGTTAAATTTAAGTAAAAAAAAAATACGTATTTTTCAATTATTTGATTGAGACGGACTGAATAGGATTTTCCTTTTTTTTACGCAGTCATCATCCCTATTATTATATACATATATAACATCAATCACGGAAACGGCTCAAATGATAAATAATGGTTTAGAGAAATCTGTTCGTAGTAACTTTTATCCTAGCTCAACCTTATGTTCCATATGCATATGAGTATCATCGCTGGCCATACAACTATAAAGTAACGCCAACTCACTCAAATCTCTTTGACACATAATATTGTACTGAGGTGCTCGTGTGTACCTTTATGCAAATATAAGGAAATATTGTTGAATATTTGTATAAAGTGTTTGTTTGTTAAAGCGCGCTTCATCAGTCGCTGCGGTCTCTTCTGTCTGCTGTGGGTGGTGACAGTCTACATGTACACTTATTCGTTGAAGATACTTCTTTCAACCGACGTCGTCGCCCTCTTTGCCACTAATGTGTCTTGCATATATCTGCTGTCCTGGGTCATCCTTCACGAGCAGTTCGTGGGAGTTAGGGTATGATTATTGAGAATTTATTTAAAACGATATTTCAATTTTAGGTTTTATACCAAAGTCAGAATTATTCTAGTATTCATGCAACACTTAAGAATAGCGTATTCTACGCTGAAAAAGCTCTCGGAACTGTTCATTGTAATTTAATTGAGCCACCAAAAATGTGATTTGTTTTTAAATATATTTAAAATAATCGTGTCGGTGGTGCGCCAGATCGTGGCGGCGATCCTGTGCGACACGGGCATCGCGCTGCTCGCGTACATGGACGGCATCACGGGCAGCCCCACGCTCGGCGGCGTCGTGCTGGCCGCCTGCGCCGCCGCCGGGTTCGCCATATTCAAGGTTCGCCTCGGTCGCCCTGCACTGACTCCGCCCTGTTCACTGTGCGTGAGTCACTATTCCCGGTATGCTACGTGTCCGCAGGTGCTATTCAGGAAAGTGATGGGCGAGGTGAACGCCGGGCAGCGCGCGCTGTTCTTCTCCATCGTGGGCGTGGTGAACGCGGCGCTGCTGTGGCCGCTGTGCCTGGCGCTGTACCTGTCGGGCTCCGAACTGGCGGCGCGCGTGCCCTGGCTGCAGCTGCTGCTGGCCAGCGCGGCGTTGCTCGGTACACGAAACCGATGAAATACATCCATCCATCCGAACCTCTGCATACATCGAACGTCACATTGAGCTTGCTAACACACTATGTTTCATATAGTCGATCATTTGAAATAAAGACGTTTCCAAAATTGAAAAATGTATGCCCTTCCCCCTCTAACTTTTAAGAGAGTGAAAAATCTAAAAATATTTCCTCGACACTTTCAACGAAAATTTGCTTAAACAATATGTTTATAATATAAATCATTAGTTTTTACCTTTTTTAATTAACACAGAGGAGAACTTTGTAATTTAATAGTTATTTAAGATACGAGTGCGGAAAGTAAGGTTTTACGAATAAGGGTCAAATTGAAAACACGAGCGTAGCGAGGGTTTTCATTGGTACGAATTCGAAAATCCTTTTACGCTTAAGTTTCTTACAACATTTTTCAATACTTTTTGCGCGGAAATAAAACAAATATATTGGTTAATAAAACTAAGTATGTATTAAAGGTAAAAATTATTTGTTAAAATTAAACGTGATATTTGAACACGTTTTCGTGTCATACATTTTTATTTGAAAATATTCGTTCTAGGCTCCTTGAAATACTTTTGCCTCTGAAGTTTGACATATTTTTATTAATTTTTTTTTAAATTTCTTTGGTGCTCGGCCAAAATAAAAATACTTGTGTAGTAAAGGATTTCAGTACATTTTTATTTAACCGAAATTGAGTCCTTAAACGTTAAGGACTCAATTTCGGTGTTTACAATAGATTAAAAAAATAGCGCTTTATGAGCAACTGCATTGAAAAAGTAATTTATTTTAATATATATTTTCAAGAGCGAATCCCTATTCGGATTCGCTCCTTTTATTTTTTTTGTTAAAATATTACCGTTTTTAGTCTACTGCAAATGAAGGGGGATTATGTTATTCAAGCGTATATATTCATACTATGCGTCTATATAATCACAGAGCTAGTTATATATTTTTCTGTAAACAACACAAAGCTCACGATTCATAATAATGATTGCGTGTTGTTTCGTTCCTTTGTTTCAGTGTTCCATCTGGTGTTCCAGTTTGGCAACATAGTGACTTACAACATTTTCGTCTCGCTCGCGCTCATCACAGCTGTTCCCGTTTCTGCCGGTGAGTTATTTTTAATAACACATACCCCTACTGAAAGTAATTGTTACAAGTAGCTTAGGAGACATTCATCTGAAGGCAACAAACTGCGGCCGGTGAATGTAAATGAGACGCGCTACGTTGTGGTTCCACTCGCAACACCGACTAGCTGCTGCCCGGCGAGTCATCGACCGATAGCAAACGAATACGGAGAATTTTTAATAAACCAAAACGTTAACGTGGGAAAGTCCGTTGCTATGACCGTGAAACTACGATATCGAGCAGCTTCCGCGCCCAGTTAATTTGTGCTGGAGTCGCTGTGCACTGTGTACATACAAACGGTAACAAGTCTCGCGAAAATCACCAGTAAACATGTATCGCCCCGCCCTGGAGCGCCCTCGGGAGTCGGCGGAGCACACGGGGCCTGCCACCGAGACTGCCTTGGAAGTTTCCAGATATCATGTTACACAGTCCCCTTTCAGATCTCTGTTAAAATTGAACAAAGCGTCCGCACCGTCCGTCTCCATATAGGATAGATAAATTCCACAGTACAGTATGCTGACTGTTTCCGTGTCCACGTTTAGCTAGTCGCAGCGCTGTTTTTTTTTTTTATGGGATAGGGGGCAGACGAGCAGACGGATCACCTGATGGTAAGTGATTACCGTCGCCCATGGACACCGGAGGGGCTATAAGCGCGCTGCCGGCCTTAGAGGGAAGGGTTGAGGGGTAGAGGGAAGGGAATAGGGACGGGTTGGGCCTCTGGTACCCTCACTCACACGACGCACAACGCAAGCGTTGCTTCACGTCGGTTTTTTATGTGAGGCCGTGGTATCACTCCGGTCGAGCCGGCCAATTCATGCCGAAGCGTGGCTCTCCCACGGTCACGGCTGTGGATATATACGGCCATATAACATTGTGGTTATTCGTTCGCTCGACCTACTTTGGCGTAGAAAGAAGGCGAGCCGAAGTGCACATATGAGGTCTTTATAGTAGTTAAATGTTCAGTGTCTGTTGATTTAAACGAACCTTTAGTTTGGTTGCATTTCAGCGGTCGTCGGTCGCGCAGCAATGTTATCATCGATCACCGCAACGACTATAATTAAATATAGATTTAGTTGTCCATACGTACATAATAGAATCTTTGTACTATATCACCGTTCAGTTTAGATTTAATTTGTTTCCGGTGTGTTAGCCCTGGACGTGGTCCTGTACGGCGTGCAGTTCGAGGGCATGAAGCTGGCGGGCGTGGTGCTCATAGCGGTCGGCTTCTTCCTGGTCATGTTCCCGGACAACTGGCCCGACTACATCATGCGGCTGTTGAAGTGAGCATACCGTTTATCATTTGTACCCTACGAGTTTCATTAGATAATATAGTTCTTTCTAATTTGTTGGGCTCTCGACTCTCTGAGACGTAACGTAATTCTGGTAAAATTCTGACAGTAGAGTAAAAAAAGAAACCCTATGTAGTCCGTCAGTCAGATAATAGAAGAGTATTAGATATGTTTTTCTGCTTCAATATAACAAGAAATGTCTTAGACATAGGCATTAAAGTCGAGGAGGGGGGGCTCGCTCCATCGCAACTCCGCAGAATTGTACAGAGGCGGGACGTCATGCGAGATTTTAATTCAAAGAATCGTCTCAATTTATTGATCACGCAAAAAAATACGTATTTAATATTCTTCATTAATCTATTTGACGGACGGACGAACAATAATTACCACTCGTTCGAGTTAACATGACACCTGGCTCGGAACTCGATATGTACGATACGCCGCCGTCGCCTTTCAGTAGCGACAGCATTAACAGCTAGCGTTGTATACACGTCTTCGCGATAGCATTAATAAATTTATAGATAAATTTGTCGGTGTTAATGAATGAAAATTGTTTTGTTGCTAATGTTATTGGATTATTGTTAAGATGAAAATGAAAGTGACACGTTCGATCGTTACTAAAATTAACTCATAATTATTTATTATTGTCTTCTTTCCGTCGAAATAACTATTGAATTTAATTATGACAATTATGTCATAATTCACTAATTAGCAGACGCGCGAGCACGCCGGCGCGCGCAAATTTTTAAAGAAATATCTTTCGAGCCAGGGGGCGTGTTAACTCGAGCGGGGAGGAGCCATAATCCCTTTTTTAAAGTTAGCTCAGTTTTAAAATAACGACACGCGGCCGAGGTTCCGCGGGGAGCGGACGAAGCGTAACATTGATTTTTTTTCAACCGGTGGTTCGCGGGCGGAGGCGCGGCGGCTGCGGGGGCGCCGGGTAGGGCTCCGCGCGCGACCCATAGGTACCTACCGCATGCTGCGTGCTCGTCTCGCTCACTGTCTCTCTCTCTCTCTCGCTCATATACACTCTCTCTGTCGCTCTCTGTCCGCCTGCCGCATGATCGCCTTCTCTCTGTCTCGCGCTGAGCCGCTCGGAGCGCATGAGCGTCGCCTCAGTGCGACGTGTGTGTGAGTGTGTGTGCGTGTGCAGATGGAGCCGGCGGCGGCGCGGCGGGGGCGCGGCGGGGCGCGGGCGCGGGGAGGCGCCCGACTACCGCACGGGCTACATCCGCTCGCACCTGCGCTCCCCCTCCGGCCGCGTCAGGTGACCGCGCCCCGCCCCCCACGCCACACCCGCCACACACGCCACACCCGCCATTTAGCAAAGCCCCCACCCCGCTCCTTGTCCGTCCCCGGCGACCTTCCGTCGATCCGGTTCAAGATACCATACAAGACAGGTGTTCGGATCTCGCCGAGCCGAATGTTGAAATTTTGCAAGTCGACCGATTCGGCGCGCCGGCGCGACCGGTCGACCGCGTCCGAGGGAATTCTCGCTCAGTACTATCGCCGACCGCCGGGTCAGCGTCGGGTGGACGATCCCGGGGCCTCCGGACGCCTCCGGCCGTCGCTCGCTCGTCGTCGGCCGGAGCGCGATGGCTCGGGTAGTGTCCTCGGATCGTCCGCCAGTTCGACGTCCGCTTTTCGGATATCGGGCGATGGCGTCGAACGGATCCCTTAAATTCGGCTGATTTTAAGTACGCCTTGTACTATTGTTAAAATCGGGAACGCTTAATTTTTTTTTATATTTGAAACTCGGAAGACGACCCGTCGGTCCTTCTGTCGAATGATCGCTCTTAGAAAAATATCACCTCCGAAAAAGTCGTGGTCCATGAAAATTAATTAATTCCTAAAGAACGATGGCCATCTGCCTGACATGCTTGGACTAGTAAAATCGAATAAAACGTAACTTGATGAAACATTTGTATGTTATTTTGTTTGCCTATGCAACTAGAACAATGTAAGACGTTAAATATATTTTTAAAAGCTGGGAGTATCGAGTAATTGTGTAATATGTTTTTGAGGTTATGTCGTATTATTTAAACTGTAGCATTTTGAGTTAGAGGTTGAAATATGTAAAGCACACGTAAGATAATGCCTAATCGTGGTCCTAGAAGTGCATACTTTCACATAATACTTCAAACTTGTTCCATATCTGATAAATTATTTTTATTGACTGTAAGAAATAAAATCATTTTTTGTGAACCAATGAACTTCAAAAAAATAATATATTTTTTAAGATTTATCTCAATAACTCTACTTTTCTATCTTACACTATAACTTATATAAAGTAGTAATGAAAATACTACTTTCAAAAGGATATAGCAAAACAACATGTTGATTTTTCTTTTCTTTATTACAACTCTAATAAATACGGAATGCTGCATGAGCAGCTACATTCTGTTCGTGTCTGGCCCATCCAAGATACCAAACTATGATCATCATATGAGCACAGCATCCCAGTGTACATCGACCAATAAGTACACATAATATTGTTTCCTCCCAATGTCTCGACTTAATTCTACCCGTTATAATTAGGACTTTATTTATATTTAAGTCTAATTCTAATAAATCCAGGAAATCCGGTATTTCTCTCCAGACCTCAATTCTATACTGCCCATGGTACCTAGTATGCTCCCCATAATACAGAAGATAATACAAAATCACCGCTAAAGTTACAAAACGGTCTGCGTAGAAACAC